TGAGACATACCAGGGCCCCTCTGACTGCAAGCCCTTTGGGTATGAATCTGCTGGCAGAGGCGCTACCGTCTCCTCCAGGGGCCTTCTGAGCCAGCCTCTGCCTGTATGCACTCAGGAAGAAAAAAAACTGCTCTAGAATTTTTCTAGCTATGAATTCTGTTCCCACTTTCCTGCAAAGGATGAGAAGGTCCAGGTGACCTGGGGGCTCCCACCAGCAACTCCAGTCAACACAAGACACCCTCTGCCTGCCAGCCTTTAAGAGCGTATTAGCACACTCTGCAGGATTGGTGGTGGCTAGAGCAGGACAGCAAGGCTCCTTGGACGACAGATGAACCTAGCGCAGGGTTGTGTAGACAGAGGGGGCATTGACGAGCACTCCAAGCACAGCGAGCTGCTCAGTGATGGCCTGGAGCCTGGCCTGTACTGACGCTCCGGTGAAGGAGGGCCAGCTCTGCAGAGTGGCGGACCACGCTGCCGTGAGGGTCATGAGTGCCAGGTGGGAGCCTGGAAGTGGGAGTGGAAGGGCACCACTATTGGTGGGACAGGGACTGGAGGCGAAAGGCAGATCTCCCTTCTTAGGGCAAGGGATGAGGGGAGGCAGGGCTGGCTTCAGGGGTGGCCCTCTGCTTGGTTTAATGTTCTTTTGTCACCAGCTTGACACTTAATACGTTTTGAGTAAGGGGACCTGCATTTTCATTGTGCCCTGGGCCCCACAAATGATGTTGCTGATGCTGGGGAGAGGGAACCACCCCAAGGCTGATGCTGCCACTTTGGTGAGAGACCAGGCTGAGGAGGCCTGACCCCTGCAGAGGTGGAAGGAGGTGTTCTGAATCGCACGTCTCTCCCACCCCATCTTCTAATGCTCTCAAAGCCTCCAAGGCCCTAGGCACAGAGAACCTCTGAGAGGGAAGCCAGTGCAGGGACAGAACTGCATCTGCCCCCCCTCCCCCGCCCACTGCAGGGCCATGGGGTGAGGGTCTCTTGCTTTGGAGGATGGGTCTGGCCCAGAGAAGAATCCCAGGCTCTGAGGGTCTGCTTTCCTCCCCTCCTGCCTCTCCAGTTCTACATGAGAACCAACTGACCCACACAGACTTAAAGCCAGAGAATATCCTGTTTGTGAATTCTGAGTTTGAAACCCTCTACAATGAACATAAGGTACCACTTGGGGAGAGGGCGATGTCCTGCTGGGTTACTACTCACTGGAGAGATTCCTGACTTGGCTCTTTCCTTGCCTCTCAGAGCTGTGAGGAGAAGTCAGTGAAGAACACCAGCATCCGAGTGGCTGACTTTGGCAGTGCTACCTTTGACCATGAGCATCACACGACCATTGTGGCCACCCGTCATTACCGCCCACCTGAGGTGATCCTTGGTGAGTAGTCATGTGGTCCCCAACCCAAATAAACTGGGCTACTGCTTGAAGGCGGGGGGAGGGTGGGAAGGAATGAACAGAGGCAGCCCTGTGCTTGTGTGCCACCCGGGGCCACTACCATGAGTCACTGTGGTTGCCAACCTGACCTGGCTGAGAAAGGGACTTGTGCTGGGGTTTGGGCAAGTCCTGCCAACCAGTGTGGCAGCTGCCCTGTGACCCAGAGCTGGACCTCAGTCTCTTTTTCTTTGACCTTCAGAGCTGGGCTGGGCACAGCCCTGTGACGTCTGGAGCATTGGCTGCATTCTGTTCGAGTACTACCGGGGCTTCACACTCTTCCAGGTAAAGGCCCCTCCCGCATTGCCCTGCTACCTTGAGTGCTCACACTCGGGCAGGCCACAGTGGCCTGGTGCAGGAAGACCCTCCAAGGCCTGCCAGTCAGCATGTTGTGAGATTCACTCTGGCAGCAGCTCACGGGAAGGGGAAGTCAGGAGTCTGAAGCTCAGCCACCAAGGGCGGAGGACTGGGGCTGGAGGATTGAGCATTTGAGACAAGGGACACAGCTGGAGGGTGTGAAGATGGGCTGAGGCATGTAACATTGCAGGGAGAATGTAAGAAATGTGGCCTTATCCTGGCAAAGGGTGGCAAGCTACCAGAAGGTCAGAGAGGCTGGGAAAGCACTTACTTTGTCCCTTATCCTCCCTGAGGGGCTGAGGCTGACCCCTACTTGCTCTGCCCCGACCTTCCACAGACCCACGAAAACCGCGAGCATTTGGTGATGATGGAGAAAATCCTAGGGCCCATCCCATCTCACATGATCCACCGCACCAGGTAAGCACCCTGGCCCATAGGCCTTTCCCATCTTTGGCTATGGGTCAAGATACCAGTCTCTGTGTAATACCCTATGGCTCCTCCAGGCTCATAGCAGCCTTCCCTGCATGCGCCTCCACGTGGCCTGACCAACCTGCTGCCCAGGCTGCTGCTCTCTCTGTCCACCACCGCCCCCAACCTTGACCACTTCCTTCCTTTTCAGGAAGCAGAAATATTTCTACAAAGGGGGACTGGTTTGGGATGAGAACAGCTCTGATGGCCGATATGTGAAGGAGAACTGCAAACCTCTGAAGGTCAGTTTCTGGCTTCCCCCAGCTCAATTCATGCCAAGGAGACCCCAGGCACTGGGCACACATACAGCAGAGACAGGCGAGGTCTGTCCCTTGCTTGGCCCTATTGGAGGCTGCACCCAAGGCTGCTGGGTACTGGCAGTGGGGCTTCTTCCAGAGGGGCCCTCAGCCCCACCCATGCCCAACAGGGTGACCATGAATATAATTGGGGAACACCAGGATCAGAGACCCCGCTGCTTCCTCCCCCCCTCCCTTCTCTCTGTTTTGGGAAGAACTAGCCAGAACCAAGGGGGAGGGAAGACATAGATGTGGCCAGGAAGCGGCTGTCAACTGCATTTGTTGCTGGGACAGTGAATTTTGCAGACATGATTTCTACCTGTCAGGACTTTGCATGTGCTGGCAGAAGCACCAAACCAACAAGACACCCAGTAGTCTTGACACATTCAGAGCAAAGTGCTCAACAGGCATGAAAAGAAAGTTGCCGCTCACTGTCCAAGAGGGCAGAAGTAGTCCTCACTACTTGCCCAGAGGAGGTATCACTGCCTCTTGAAGCCATGCAAGGCTTCCCACGCCCCTGCCATTACACTGAGGCACCTTGTGTCCCTGAGCAGAGTTACATGCTCCAAGACTCGACAGAGCACGTGCAGCTGTTTGACCTGATGCGGAGGATGTTAGAGTTTGACCCTGCCCAGCGCATCACACTGGCAGAAGCCCTGCTGCACCCTTTCTTTGCTGGCCTGACCCCTGAAGAGCGGTCCTTCCACACCAGCCGCAACCCCAGCAGATGACAGGCACAGGCCACTGCGCGAGGAGGAGATGGAGATGGAGAGTGGGACTGGGCTGCCTGGCCCCCTTTCTCCAACCTCTGTAACCACCGGGCCTCAGGGCCAGAGCCACCCAACGAACAGTGCAATGTGAAGAAAGGCAGGTGCCTGCAGGGGCAGAGATGCAATGCCCAGCTGCCGGAAAGCACAGATTTGACCCAAGCTATTTATATGTTGTAAAGTTATAATAAAGTGTTTCTTACTGTTTGTAATCCCTGGTACCAGTGTGTCTCCAAGCTCCTTGCCTTCTCCCTTCCCTATCTTATTAATAAAGTCTTTCTTAGCAGTTCAGCTTGTGGAGAGCAGAGTGTGAACTGGGCCAGGCACCGACCAGAAGCTGGAACCACCCCATTCTGGCCTCTTTGTACCTCTCAGCTCTTAGGAATGTAGGGGGAAGACCCCACTGGTGGCTTACCAGGCAGCATCTGGTTTTAACTGTTCAAGTCCTTTTAAGCACAAGTTAAGTTTGGCTCCTAGGTCTGAGGAGGCAGTTCCCTGCAGCCTACAGAGCAGAATTCACCAGAGACAGGACTCTGTCATTCAGCTTTATTTTAGTGCTGGTTTTTGGTTCCCCAAGAGCTGCATGAGTGATCTTGACCACATGACTGGGGCCCCTCAGAGACTGGGCATGGCAGGCAGGATGCCTCTGAAAAAAGCGAACGACAGAGGAATCATGCTTATCTATAGTACCACTGGGGAAGGCCCAGGCTAAGGGAACAAGGAGGCTGTACTGCCACCAGGGAAGGAAAAAGAACTTGGGCACAAATTCCCAGTAGTCCCTGAAAGCCATCACCCCCCACCCCCCACCTCACCTCCAGTGCCACTTCAACTTAACTGGAGTGAGTAGTCTTTTGGGCCAGGGTTCTTCTAGCTTGTTCTCCACTGTACCCAATCAAGGAACCTAAAGCACATTAAACAGGCAGCCAAAGAACCTGTTGACTGGTTGCTCACTAAAATGCCTGGAATCCAGCACTCCTCAGACTATAGCCCTGCCCCTAAAGAGAGGGCCCCATCCTGGGAGCTGCTGGGTCCTGAGAGTGAGCAGACACTCAGGGAGGATGCGTAGCACAGGGCTGACTGTCTCTGACCTCCTCCCACTGCTGGAGACAATTTAACACTTGAGGGAGGATGGGAGGAAGAGGGACCAGCCCTCTCTGCCCTGCCTCCTTTGTTCCTGGCTATACTCCTGTAAGGAAAGTGATAAGCAGCCCTGTGTCCGCAAACCCTTGGTGAGCCTTCCCACTCACCCCCTTAACCCGACTGAGTAGGCACAGAGCAGAAGGAAGCCTGGAGACCTGAGAAAGGCTTTAGATCACAAGTCTTCTGTAAGGGCAGCTGTCAGGAACTCCAGGGCATGGCTTCTGTTCTATCAGCTCCCAGGGCCTAAGACGACAAAAGTCCAGGGGCTTGCTTAGTGCCTTAAAGCTGAGCAGCAGCATGTTCCTACGGCTGAGCCCTACCAGCCAGTTCATCCAGAACTAGCCTCATTTTGGCATCTCTGAAATAGGGCGTTGGCCCCAGGCCTACTCATGTAGAGTGGACAACCAGAAAGGGCTCAAAGGGAGGGATGTGCACCCTGGTCTGGGATGACAGCTACAGAGGACAATTTCAGGAGAAGGGCCGAGAAAACAAGATAGTGTGGGTATGTATGTGCAGGCGGGGGGCGGGGGGGCGGGGGGGGCGTGGTGGCATAGGACAAAAGCACCAGGAAGCCTTTTGTGGCTCAGCACCAGGCCCCCCAGCCTCCCCAATACTGAACATTAAAGCTGCACCCTGAGGGGTCTGGTCCCAGACTAAGAAAATGCTCAGCCCCCAGCTAGAGAGGGTACGGGGGTTGGGGGGCACTGCTGGCAAGATGGGCACTGTGGCTCTACAGTAACATAACCTCATACTACCTGGGCTGAAGACAAATACAATGTAAAATCCCAGTGCAGTAAAACCATCCCAATGCCACACCCTTCCCTGCCTCTCAGAGTGCTGCAGAAGGGAGGAAGGGCCCTGGGGAGAAAATCCCAGGAAGAAAAATAAAATTTGGATCAGCTCAGGAAAAAGGGACAAAGCCTACAAATCAACTTGTGGCGGGGCTCGCGGGAGGCCCACAGCCCTCAAAATGAAATGGGGAGTGCAAGTCTGCCCTCTAGTGGACAGCTGCAGCACAGCCAGGTGTGTGTGTGATCAGAGGAGGGGAGACAAAGCCACCAGCACTGAAATAGCAAGTACAGGCAGGCCCTCAAACAGGCCCTATCCCACTCTGCAAGGTGCTTGCCCAGGCCCAGTGGCTGTAAACCTGAAACACAGTTTGTGAGCTGCCTACGTCTGTAAACAAAACCCCACGCAGGGGGTCGAGTGTAGAGATGCCTGGAGCCACTGAGCACTCAGCCTGCCACCTGCCTCACACATCCAGTGGGAAAGTGTTTTCTGGAGAAGGGCAGGTGACAGGTCAGCTTTAAATATGATTTGTTCTCTCACAAAAGAAAGAAACCCATAAGAGACAAAATTGAACACGGTCCATGAAGCTTCACATCCTTAAGGCGTTCGTTGTCAAGTTCAGTGTTAGGAGCAGCAGGGGACTACAGGGTCCAGCCTGCCCAGAGCCCCTCTAGGCAGAGTGCAGCGGGATGACAAACTTGCAGCCAAACGGTGAGTGGTAGTTGATCCCCACCTCCTGGAATACCTGCTGGGGAATGCCAATGTCGCACAAGTAGACGCGGCCTGCATGCTCTCCCAGTGGCAGAGGCAGACCCAGAGCCAGTGACCACTTGGCATCGATGCCCTGTTCAACTTCATGCACAGGAGGATCTATGCTGAGTACTGGTGCCCGGTTCTGGTTGGCCCAGGCCACAGCCGCCTTGTACCAGGGCTGATCCCGTAGGAAGGCGTTCTCGGGACAATCCAGACAGTTGATCACCAGATCCACGGGGCTAGTGGGCAGATCTGCAAGTGGAAAGAGTGTCATCTAATAATCCCTCTAAGCGTAGGACCCAGGCTGGGAACAGAATCCAGGTGGCCCCCTCATGGAAACAGGTCCTCCTTACAGCCCAGCCTTAAGAATGCGGAGGGAACCTATCACTTCTCCCAGGCATTTTAAAAGGCTTCTCTGCTCTAACCGGGCCTATGGGACAGTGTAAGCATATGTAACTCTGGCCCAGGCGAAGGTTAAACTGAGAATATAAAAAATTCAGACCAAACCTCAGGGTTGGCATCCTCAGGTTTTTTGCCTCCTGCCACAGCTGGGACAGAAAGCCTTTGGGGCAGTCAGAGAAAGTACTGCCTGAGGTGGGCATCATGTTACAGATTTCAAGAGGACAACCCATACCAGGCCCCCTTCCCAGCTCTCAGCCTAAAGTAATGCTATTTCTCAATGACAGACCCACAGCTTCCTTACTTAGGACAGAGTCCCAGGGTATACGTAGCTACAGGTACCTGGCCTAAGAGAGAGGAAACTGAAGTTCTGGCTCAGGCTCTGGCCCCAATTCACCATCTGACCCCTGGAAAAACCCTTTCTCTGGACCATATATGTTCTCTCCACTTCTCCCCTGTTCTCACTAAAACCCACTCCAATCATATTTTACCCCCATTACTCCACTTGAAACTGCTCTTCCATACTGCTAAATCCAGTGGTCAATTCTAACTCATCATTTGAACTTAACCTAGACCTATCCTGCTGACTTGCCTTTCAGGTACTTGCCTGTCCTGGTTTTCCTTCTCCTTCACTGACCACTCCATCCCTGTCTCCTTAGCTGCTCTCTGATTCTCTGACTTCTAAACAGTCTAACAACTTCTCTAACTACTCTCTCTTCCTAGGAGATATCTTATGCAGGCTCATAATGACTTTAAACACCACATACACATGTGTAACTCAAGTGGATCCCTTCACTTAACTCCATGTTCATCTACATATCAATCCACATTTCCACTTGCATATCCAGCAACACCTCTAACTGAGCTTCTGCTCTTCTTCCAAGTCTTCCTCTCAGTGGTGGTACCCCATCCTTCCAGTTACTTAGGCCAAAGACTTTGGAGACATCCTTAACTTTTCGTTCTCTCATCCCCTTCATCCAATCTGTACACTCTATATTCAAAATGATTCAAAAAGTTCAAGCCCTTAAAGTGATCCACAGGCCCTTTACAACGTGACCCTGAAATGTTTAAGTCTGCTATTCCTCACTTAACCCTCCAACACTCTCTTCTCTCTTTCCTGCTTTATCTGTTTCCATAACACTACCATCTGACCTATGTTAACTAAATGTTACTTATCTTCAAATGTAACTTAAATGTTACAGTATCTTCATCTGTCCTAACCAGAATGTTAAGATTCATGGAAGCATGGATTTAAGGGCCGGGGGCGCGGGGCGGAATCTACTGTCCTATCCCTAGTGTTGGGAACAGTGCCTCTTCCATAAATATTTGTGAAATGAATAAATGAGTCCCCAGCTCTCCATCTGAGTATGGGACAGTGGGGGTGAAGGGATGCAAAGTAGGCAAGTCAACACCAAAGGACTTCCCATTTGCACAAGCAGAACACGTTATACTCATGATGCTTTTCTACCTGTCACCACTGGGTGGCACCACCAGACCATCAAACTACTGAGGAGGGAGGCAGCCTGAGCCCAGCCCCTATGCAAATACTCACCTTTGAGACTAGACACTTGTTGGCCTTGGGTCTTGCTGAAGAGAGACAGCTCATTGGTGATGGACTCTAGCATCTTGACAAAGTTGGGCAGGAAGAGGATGACCTGGACATCATGGTTGGCTAGATGCCTTCCACAGCTGATACCCTGAGCCCCCTTCACATGGGGACCGCATAGCAAAGCCACGGTAGGCCTCTGGTGAACATTTTTGGGATTCAACCTGGAACAGAGGTAAAGAAGCATTCTCAGTTGCAGACCTGGCAATTCCTCGCATCCCAAACCAAGTGAGTGCTTCGCACCTGTTGCTTTCAGAGTTCCTGATAGTCCCAGGTTCCAGAGGAGCCAAAACCCATTGTAGGACAGGTCTAGAGGGTGTCCCATACTTCACCTGCTTGGTCTTCTCACTAGGTAGATTACCCAAATCTTATTCCACAGAACACTGTTTTCTGACCAAGAACATTTACTGTCCTCACAGTGTGAACCTATTAGAGCCAAACTCTTTGTAACAGAGAGGCTTTTCCATTTCTGCAACCCTCTTTGCTTTCTTCCCCCACATGCCTGCTCCCCTGAGTCTGGTCTCATTCTCTCCTGCACTGTTACAGCTCTTTCTTGCTTCTGCTCAAACTATGCCCCTGCCCAGAAAGCCCACCTTTTCTTTGAGATCCAGCTCAAGGCTCACCTTTTCTAGGATTACTCTGGCTAAACTCCTAAGAAACCCACAGCAAGTACCAAACAGGATAGTTCTGAATCATCCTTAATCAGTCACCAGTTCAAGTTCTCTTTACTGAGCTCCCAGTAAGCTTTAATAAGGGCAGTGCTACAGATACTGATAGGCCCTACTTCCCAGGATGCTATGTGGATTAATAGATGTACAGCGCTGAGAACAGGACCCAGCACAAAAAGTGCCCCCTGGATGTTGGTACTACTATAGTACTGGTCACAGAAGAGGCAGCTGGCTGGGCTTCCTGGCCCTCAGACTGGCAGTTGTTTTGAACACCCACTGCCTGATGCAGGTACTTTTGGTTCCCTGCCATTCAAAGTTGAGACCTCTCTGGTCTCAGGGAAGTCACAAATTAAGATTTGAGGGTTACCCTGGAGCTGTGCCTGACTCACAGGCAACACAGTCTGCCCCAGGGCATGAAGGTGAGGGAAATATACAGCAAGAAATAGGCTTAGGACCCTGCTGGGGGTAGAGCAGTGACAGTCACTTATTGGTCTCCCAAAAGGAGGAACATGACAGCTGCTGTCTAGCCAGTGGGGAAACCCCTGTCCTTCAAATAAATTTGGGGTAATATCATTCATTTCCCTCACTATGTCGGCATCTTAAGGAAATATGATGAGTACTCCCTTCAGACAGACGCAGCGGCATTCTGGCATATGACTCACCCATGTCTGTTTCCAGAGAGGGTTCAAAGCAGACCATGGCACCCACACACGCAACAAAAGGGGACAGAGCGGCACAGGCCCTGAAACAGAACTATCTGGATCAGAGACCTGGTCCACCACGTCTGGGCAGGATCATGTGGGCCAAGTCTTTCAGCTCTAGTCTTAGCTGGCTTGTTTTAAAACCCTGGGCTACTACTTACCTTCGAGGTGAAGCTACGAGTAACAAATTCAACACTGTTGTGAAAGCAGAGTGACTGCATGATCCTTGACATACGTGAAAATGACCACTAACGTGGTAATCTTTTTCAAGGAAAGCCAGCAGCTGCTGCAAAGGACAGGAGATGGCCTTTCTAAGAGTTCAGACAGGCACAGGGACAGCCAATCCCAAGAAGCTGGCTTGAGAGGAATATGACTTTGTGGGGACATTCAGATCCTGCCCCCAAACTACTCTTTCTGGGAAGCCACTTAATGGCCTCAAATACTACCAGGAAGAACTTACTCTGAGAGCTGCCCCAATGGCCACTTTGGCAGGGAGGTGTGGCAGTTACCAGGACCAAGGGCCTGGTGCTCTGTCTGCAGGCAGCTGGCTTTATTCCTTCCTTTGGGCTGGGGGTGGGGGGGGGGCGCGGAGAGGGGTAAGGGAGTGCCCTCCATTGGCTCTTCCCTGTTACAGGAAAGGCAGGAATCCCACACAGTTGAGAAGCAAGTCTACATCAAGGGCAAGGAGGAGTAAACATACCCACAACTCCTCAGGGCAAGGGGAATGGAGGAGCAAGAAGGGGAACCTCACACCCAGCTGGGATCCCTTTAGACACCACTCTCCACAAGGCTGCCACTGTCCTCCTCTTACTGACAAACCCAGCAGATGCCTGTCAGCTCTAACTTTGTTTGATCTCTCAGCAGTACCATTGCTGACCATTCCTTTATTCTTCAAACACTATTCCTTTGGTTATGAAGCACTATCCTCTTGGTGTTCTTACCTCTCTGGCTTGCTTTCTCAGCCATTCTGGAAGGCTCCTCATCTCCTCACTATGCCTTTAATGCTGATGTTCCCCAGAATTCCATCCTAGGCCCCTCCTCCCTATACATCGTCTCTTTACAGGATCTCATCTATTCTATACCACCTAGAAGCTGATGACTTCCATGTCTCTATCTTCTGCTCAGATCTTCTTGTAAACCTCAGATCCAGACTGCTAATGGTCTATTTGGCTATCTCACATGCCTCTTAACATATTCAAAACAAGATCCCACCATTTCCTCCAAACCTGCTCCTCCTCCCCACGTTCCCTATCACAGTTAATGTTATCACTATCCGACAAGGTGTCATGCTGAAAGCTTCAAGTTCAGTGACCAAAGACACTCCATTTTCCCTCATCTCCCACATCCATCCATTCAATGACCTTGCCCTGTTGATTTATCTTTAAAAAAACCCATCACCTATCTCCACTTCTCTAATCCCTATTTCCCTGGTTGCTCAGTTTTCTGTTACAGTGTGCTCCCAGTCTTGCCTCCACTCAATCTACTCAACCAAAGTCATCTTTGTAAGATCATGTCACAGCCCTACTGAAATCCCTTCCACAGCTTCCTACTGCTCAGCTGCACCGAGACCCTACTTTCCAGCCACAGAGAATGACTTACAGCCCCCACCACTGCCATGGGCTCTCAACTCTCTATGCTCTTGGCACACACTACTTCCCAGATCTAGACTACTCCCCCGCTTCCTGCTGCCCCTGTTCATTCCATATAGCCCTGCAAGATGACTTAATCTGGATGCCCTGTTCTAGGAAGGGTGACCAGCTTCTTCATCCTGGAGAAGAAAGAATGTGGCTTGCTGAAGAAGCTTCTGTTTCCTCTACCACAGCATGGTACTTTTCCGAGGCCTCATTAGGCTACTGGAGGGCAGGAGTAGTGTTTTATTCTTCCCTGTATCCCTAGTCCTAGCACAAGGCTAGCACATGGTATCAGTAAATGTCCACAAATAAAATGAAGCACCGCTCCTGCTACATGACCCGAAAGGGCAGGTGGGGACGTACCAGACTCCAGCTCTCCCACCCAATTGTCAGAGTGGCTCTGGGGGCCCTCAGCTATGGAACTCAGGACTGACCTGCACCCCAGACTCTGGAATGATAGGTGCCAAAGGCCGGGTCTCTGAAGGTTCTTAGAAGGCAGGCCTTTGACAGTCAGCAACTGTTATCAGGAAAGAAAAGGTCAAAGGGTGGCTTGCTGGGAGAAGAATGAGGACTTCCAGGAGATTGGTTAGAGAAACAAACAAAAACCTTCAGGATCCAGGAAGGTGACCTCATAAAGGTGTTTCCATCACACAAGAAGCAACTGTCCAATGAATTCCTCTTGTGTGAGGCACTGTGACAGGGCCAGGCAGAGCAGCATCAACCCACACTCAGCCCCTGCTGATCTAGAGGCATTTACCTGTTGGGTCCTCCGAGTAGAGTCAGTGCCATCTGACTGGCACACACACCTGTCATCTCCAGTCTCCGCTCCAAAGTCAACCCATGCTTTTCGGCCACAGACAACAGCTTTTTATGTAGCTCATAGGAAACACTTGGGACAACCAGGCCAGAGTCTGCAGTTCAAAAGAAGGAACGGAGAGAAAGGGGCAGTGATTACAGGAAACCAGGTCCACGAATGGGTGTACTCCATCCAGGATTCTATGAAAGCCACAACTTTGAGAATGACCCTGCCCTGACCTATCTGCCTCAGCCGGACTGAGGCATGCTATGCAGCCCCAGGGGCTCAGGCAGTGATGGGGAAACTAAGTAACAGCTTGTTCAGGTGACCACAGAGCGGGGTTGTGAAGCTTTAACCATGGAGGCTAAATCTACCAAGATATATTTGGTACCACCAAGAAAAGTTGAGCAGAGAGCATGTGTTCAGTAAGAGCAACCTACAGACCACACCAGAAGAGAACATGCTTGTCCCAAGTGGCAGAAATGCCATCTTAGCAGTGGGATTTCCTTATAAGCAGAACCTTATCCCTTCCCAAGAACCTAACAACCCTCCCAAACCCTCTGGTCCCACTGTTCACTTTCTGGGCAGGATAACTTGTTCATCCCATCTGCTCCCCACTTCTTCCTCCTCCTCTCTTCTACTTATCCTTTTTCTCTGCTTAGGAAATTGCAATTAGCAACTTATTTTTTCCAATAATTTGTCATTTTTCTGCCCATTTCGAGTGAGTATGATGCAATACTCATACCACAGGGAAAGAGTATGTGGAGAGTAACCTATGGCTCACTTTAAGCTACTCAGAAGAATCTTATCATTTTATTCACCATAAATGAAGAGAACTCTATAAAGGTTGGAGAAAATCAGTCACTGAAAGTATTTGGCTTTAAAAGGCCCAAGTCTGCAGTAGCTTGTACACTTGAAGGAGTCTACAGAATTACATCTATGCATCAGTATCAACACACCATGTGTTATTTCAGGGCCCAGAAAACCAGGACAGGAAAGAAACAGCCAAGTCGAAATCTGCAATAAGCAGCTTTTGCCTCGACAACCAATGCCATCTTACAAACACTAAAAGCTACCGGGAGCAGACGCCCTACCCAAGAGCCCCATTTGGCTGATGGACTGACATGGATTCCCATTAGCAAGTTACTGTGGACTGTATGTCACAAGTTCTGTCTGGCTAAATCAGACATCTTTTTTGAGCCTGTGTCACCATCTACATTGGATTTTCAACTCCTCAAAGTAGGGAAATAAGCCTATATTTCTGGGCCCTCACCTCCTCAACTTGTCTTACTTGTATTTGTCAATGGATGTGAGCTCTCAATACGTATTCAAACATATAAGTGATGCAAACCTAGTGTTTGTTATTTCCGGTCTGACCAAGCTCTAAGGTGGAAGTTCATCATCATTCTATTGGTTCCAGAGCTGTGTGTAGAAAAACTTATATTTCTCACTGACAATTTCTGGAGATATTTCTTGAGGGTCTATCAGGCATCCAGTCCTCCTGATACACGGGTTTTTGTTTGTTTGTTTGTTTGTAACTGGGCAAAGAACTTTATTAACTTTTGTATCAAACTTTATTCCCAGGCTTTTCCAGCTTAATTAGCTGCAAAGTATGACTTGTGTATGAGCAAAAACTGAAAAGAGCTGCAGTGGCTAAGGGGCTTGGGCTTAAAAATATTATAGATCTAGATTTTTCACCGACCCATGTGCAAAATTTGAAAAGGCATTCACAATGCAATGCAGCAGCTCCCAGTATCTTCTTCAAGTTTACCTTTGTCACAGGTTGACTCAATTCAGTTTGCTTCATCCTTGGAAGCCTCATCACAATTCTCTGTAAGATCTGGAACTTCATCCTCTTCCTCCTCTCTGGTAGCAAGTAGAGCTTGTCCATTCACAGACTGGGCAGAGCTTTGCCAGTCTCCTTAAACCAGTCAGACTGTCTGCATGAGGCTGCTTTAAGAGTCTAGGTAGCATTTTCGTCAGCTGCTGTGTCTCAGCACGGCAGTAATGATGCATGTGTTCACTGCCAGAGATGCCTGAACTTTAGGGTTGTTAAAGTGGATCACTGTTCCTTGGTTTGTGAATATATTTATCTCTTCAGTATCAGAGATATTGTTTACCCCTAACTCCTGTAAGGAGAACTGAAGTTTTTTTTATCATCTTCTGTATCTGCTCGGTGCACTGCCTTCTCCTCTCTACAAGCAGTTCCTTTCCCACCAATGTGCACTTGTGCCTGCAGTTTGGCAAGTTGCTCCTGGATCATGATAGGTTCTTCCACCTTGATGGAGAGGAAAAGGGGCTGCACGGGGAAGGACGGTTGGTGCTCAGGGGTCTTGAGCAGACCAGCTGAGAATAAGAGCACACACGTGGGGACATAAGATGGCAGCCAGAGGATATGGCTGTACATTTTAACAGGATTCTAAGCACAAACATGAACCTAAAGCACCTAGGTCTGTATCATGTCAAGGGCAGGTGAAATAATTTAATGTGATGAAGATAATAAAGTAAAAAACGCCCAAGCATCAAAATCAACATTATCCTTTTGGTTAATGGAGCCTCTCCACTACCTGCCTGAGTCCTACTTCTACCCTGGGCAGAGACAGCAAACAGTGCCATAAGGGGTGTTACTTCCTCTCACCCTTTCAGAAACATCAGTCACTGATGTACCCAGGTGCCAATACTGGAGGGTGCAGCCTAACCTTACATGTCAACAGCTGATTAAAACAGTCATTTTTATGACCTGCTCCAGACATGCACATATTATCAGAACTAATTAGGAACCATTGATAACAGTATAAAAACGCTGAAGGAATTCTTGGGAGTCCTAAGCCACTTACAATCCTAAACCTATCAGACAAGTCACGCACCTGCCCACATCAAATACCTTCTTTACCTGCACAGTCACGCAAGGGAGAGCTTACCCTCAAGTCTGTGCACTTCCGCACCTACTTGTTCTCTTTCTGCTGGATTGGAAACGGCTCAGGGCAGTGAGCCTTGGCCTGCTACCCGACCATCACACTTATTTTCTGCTGTGGGTACAGGTGCCCCTCTCCCGTTCTGAGGGCTCTCTGAGGGCAGGCCGAGCACTTTCTGCTGCCTTTCTCCTCAGTTCTTAAAGGTACGAAACTCACGGTACATGGAGAAGAGGCTCACCACTTGCTGGCTACGCATGGCAGCCGGAAACTGTGTGGCTGTGTGTGGGATGGGAGACACTGCTAAGGACCTGGCTTATTTGTAGCATCGGGAAAGGCAAAGGCAGGGTTGGCTCCATCAGTTGTTGCAAGGCCAAGAACTCCAATGTACTGCATTGCTTCTCTGAGAGGAGTGTGCAAGCACTACAAAATGTTTCTTTTCAACATTCACACACAAAGTCCAACCAGGCAGACTGGCTTATCAGAAACAGGCAAGTGGAATAAAATAAAACTCAAAAGGAACAGAACCAAGAACACACTGCAAACAATTTATTTTTTTTATTAAAAAAATAAACTGCAAACAATGACGCTGTCAAAGCCTGAACAAGAGCCAAGCCTAATTATGTTTGGTTTGGAAGGTGGCTCTGTATTGTTCTGGCACCAAGACAGTAACATCAGTGGGAAGGGTTTCTCTTAATATGTATCTTACAGCTGTTGGTGAAACAAGGAAGGGAGCTGTAATTATAGTCAGTTTGTGACAAGCAGAGAATGTCTTAGAATCCGACTGACCTTAGGGTATCAAGGAAAATGGCTTAAGTTCGCTCAGTACAGACCACGGCAGAAGACCCTTCCAGATGGCACAACTTATTCCACAGCGTGAGGTGAGGGCCTTGGAACCAAATAGCCCCTTTGGCACATCTGTCCCCTCTGCATTGCTCTCCCAATACCTACTACATCAGGCCTTTCCTTCCCTCATGAACAAAACACCCTCCATCATACTGCCGCCCTCAGACACCATCCAGCACTACGTCCAAGCCCTCCCCAGTAGCCGCTGAATGGACATCCCTTCCTGTTCTTCAAACCTCCCACGACAAAGCGAGGCTCCCACGACAACGTTTCATCTCATATCTGTGCTCAGTCCTCACAGTGACATGGCCTTTTAGTCGAAAAGGCTGTGTGTGTCCCATGTATTATCAATGAGGAGCATGGCTCATTAATGGGGCTGGGACTTATCCAGGGCTATGAATTCTGATTTCATTCCATGGTGGTCACACATTTGGGTGATGATCTCATACTGGGTCTTTTTCTGGAGCATAAAACCACTGATAAGTTGAGGCCCTCAGATGTACAGCCCCTGCACATTTACATTAAAGATACCTGTAAATGCAATTTGGTGTCAAGTTGTCTCTGAAAGGAGGATTCCTTACAAAAAGTCTAATACTCCCAGTACTTTTTATAGGGTTCAACAGGCCTCCCACTATCTGGCCCTTGCAGACTGCATCCCTTTACCTTGGACCCAACCCCCACCACGCTCCAGGCACCTCAGTTGCTTTCTGGTTCCTAAATACTCCAAGTTCTTTTTGGCCTCTGGAAGCATGTCCCTCTCCAGGCACTCTCTTCTCCCTTCCAATCCCTCAAACACAGGGCTGGTTCCTTATTCTTCAGGCTTCAGCTTACATATGCCATGGTCTCAGCACACTGCTTATTCTCTTCGCTGTACTTAATACAGCTTATACATAGTTTTCTTTATGGACTCTCTACTTCGTCAGGAAGTAAGCTCTATGGGGGCAGTGACTGTGCCCATCCTGTTCCAGGGCTGTGTTCGCTTCTCCACGGTGCCCTCAGTGCTAGTAGAGTATCTACAGGAGTGGCCACATAAATGTGGTGAACGAGTGAATGAATGGGAAGGGACCCTGTACAACAGCCTCAGGGCATTCCATTCTGCAGCTGTAACCAAAGGCAGGCGTGGGTTAGAAGGGTTTGACTCCTTCCCCACCTCTTCCATTCTTATTTACAACTAGGCCAACCTTCCTGTCGATGCTGGACCTATTTTCTTCAGGATACAGCTCCACTGAAACAAGCTATGGACTTGAGAGGTAAAGGAGTTCCCAACAAGATTACCTATTAATTACAAAGGAAAAAGTATATTTACAAAGAAATCTGATGGACACCTTACCAAGTGATCAAACTTAGCCCTCAGTGA